TCCACTCATCTGTTGATGGACATTTTCATTGTTTCCACATCTTGGCTATTGTGCATAGCACTGCAATGAGCATGAGAGCGCTAATATCTTTTTGAGATCCTGACTGGAATTCTTTTGGGTAAATACCCAGAGTGGGACCCTGGATCATATGTGTGGGGAAGTTGGGGTTCCTATGGCCAGGATCCTCACTGAACTTAAACCACCTGATGATGTAACTGGCCTGTTGTTAGGCTACTGCTTTCACACCTTTAGGCAATAAGCTATTATTGTGCTATATAGAGAGCTCAGCCCAGTGCTCTGGGCGGAGGCAGAAGCACTATGGCTCAACCTACCGCCAGGAGAACAAGCCAGGTAATAAACCCTTTCACCCCAAAGAACGTTTTGCTGTCAATTTCTTTGGTCACATTGAATCCAGAGTGAACTTGCCTGTGGCTGAAACTCACTGGCAAGACGATATGGTAGCTCTATTTTTTAGTCACCTCCATACTGGTTTTTTGATAGTAGCCATCCTAACAGGTGTGAGGTGATATCTCATTGTGGTTTTGATTTGCATTTCCATGATGATGAGTGATGTTAGGCATCTTTTCGTATTGGCCATTTGTATGTCTTCTTTGGGGAAATGTCTATTCGAGTCTTCAGTTCATTTTAAAATCAGGTTATTAGCTTTTTTGTTCCTGAGCTGTAAAAGTTCCTTATATATTTTGGAAATTAGCCCATATGCTGATACTGCAAATATTCTCCCCCATTCCATGGGCTACCTTTTCACTGCAGATTGTTTCTTTGTGTTGTGGAAGCTCTTCAGTTTGATATGTCTCATTTACCTATTGTTGCTTTTGTTGCCTGTGATTTTGTTGTCGCGTTCATGGCAACATTGCCAAGACCAATGTCGTGAGACTTTTCTCTGTATTTACTTCTAGGAGATTTACAGTTTCAGATCTTATGCATAAATCTTTAATGAATGTTGAGTTGATTTTTGTAGATGGTGTAAGATAAGGTTTGTATTTCATTCTTTTGTATGTGGCTATACTGTGTTCTCAACCATTTGTTGAAGAGACTATCCTTTACCCATTGTGTATTCCTGGCACTCTTGGTGAAGATCAGTTGATTGTATGAGCACAGATTTATTTCTGCGTTCTCCATTCTGTTCTATTAGTTCATATGTCTGTCTTTATGCCAGTAGTACCATACTCTTTTAATTACTATAGCTTTATGGTATATTTAGAAACCAGTATGTATGATGCCTCCAGATTTGTTCTTTTAACTCAAATTGTTTTGGCTGTTTGGGGTCTTTTTTTGTGGTTTCAGATGATGTTTAGAATTGTTTTTTTTTCTATTTCTGTAAAAAAATGCCATTGAGATTGTGCTAGGAATTGCATGGAATGTATAGATGACTTTGTGTAGTAAAGACATTTTTAGCAAGATTACGTCTTCCAATCGATGAACATAGTTACCTTTCCATTTGTTTTTGTCTTAATTTCTTTCATCAAATGGCCAGGGAAAGACAAATCTCCACTTATAAGAACTTAAAATGGTTGTAATTTGCAAAGACTTTCCTCAGAGAAGGAACAACTCCTGATATGAATTCAAGTGTGGTGGGCAGTGGATACTATGAGCAGTTAAAACAAAGTTATAAGAATCAAATTTTCCTAAGTGTTTTGAAAGTATGTTCTATATCAGCTCTTGTGATAAAGTAAGCCTTCTTTGTTTTCTTTCTTAAACAAATTTTTTGGTAATCATTTACTATGTAACTACTTAAAACTAACTTATGACATATAAGTGGACTTTATTTCCCCAGTACACCACTTCTCTAGCATCAAGCTGGATTGTGAGTGTGCGAAGCAGCTGGGGGAAGTGTGTCAGGTGAGGCCTAGTTCTGGGTGGGGGCTGCCTGGATGGCTCCTCACCTCAGTCCCTGCCTTTCTGGCAGAACTCAAGGCAGCTGGCTGCTTTGGAATGTAATTGTCTAGTGTTGGGGCTGGGCAGGTCCTGGGCTGTCCTTTTCTATGGTCTGAGGAAACCCTCTTAGATGTGGGCTGATTCTCCTGCAGATGTAACATTTTCCCTCCTCTTATCAGATCCCAGAATCTGACAGAAAGAGCAATGTCATTCTCCGTGTCTCTGAATCAAACCTGCCCTGGTGGTTGACCTTGTCTTTTCTGGGTGGGCTGGTTGAAGAGACCAGTGTGGCATCAACAGCTCTTCCCACACCCTGTGACCATGGAGAGTTTGCTTTCTTTGGGTCATGGCCTGTGGCAGGCAGAGGCATTGGCTTCAGGACCTCCTTGGATGACCCTGATGACGTCTACCCTCCCCTCTTCTTTCCCGGGCAGTGGGGTACTGGGTCCCATGGTTCCTCTGCTCCTTCGGGCATGTGCTGTGTGTGAGAAAAACAGGGGCAAGACCATTTGCCAAGCATCTAAGCAAATGTTCAGAAAGCACCTTTGCTTCTTTGCATTTTTTCATTTTATTGTAATTTGTAAAGGCATAGAAATAATTTTAAGGAGAATGAAAAACAAATAAATAAGCCATCCCCTCATTGCAAGTCTGATGTCATTATCCCATTTTTGAAGAAGTCTTTCCAGTTTTCTTCCCAAATGGACAGTTTTCCATACTGTTGTAATCAAAATGCATATACCTTTTTGATTATTCAGCTCACATTGCATTTCTAAGTAGATCTGGGTTGGGGCTCACAAGCTCTGAGGCAGGAGGGCAGGGGAGTTGCTGGAGGTCCCTTGGGAGCCCTGGTGTGTGTGGCTGTGGAGGCAGCAGAATTACTTCAGAACTAGGAGTCAGGCAGGCAGGCCTGGCTTAAACTCATCCTTGCCTCCCACAAGCCAGGGCGAAACTGGTGGGAGAGCCCAGGACTGTGGCCTGCAGTCACCTGAGGCTCGTGCTGAGATATCCTGGGGCTGGAGAGCAACTGCAGTGCTTTCCCAATCCTGGTCCCCATGGCAGGTGGTGACGGATGAAATATGTGGCAGGGGATTTTAAGAAAAGTTATTTAATTGGAGGGGTTGGCTTAATTAAAAAAATTAAGAAATCTAGAAATCCCTAGAAATTTGGGGTCATTCTGGTGTTAGTGAGAGCTGATTTGGGGTACACTCAGAGTAGGCTCTGGGGCCAGGTTTGGCTGGGGCCTAAGGGTGCATAATCCTGGGCTGGAGATCATGCCCTGGGTTGACCTCTCATTTGTTAGTCTTTCATTCACTGTGGATGACATGCTTAGGCCCAAGACCTCCAGAGAGCTGCAAACCCATGTATGCTTCTCACTTCATCCCAAGACCTTAGGAAGTCCTAAGATGTCCCAAGCATCCTATGAACTGACTCAGGATAGTTCTCTGATTTTTAGTCACAAATGCAATTTGGGTGTAGGTGATGGGGTAAATGGGCGTAAGGGGTGGAGGCTGCCTGAAACCCCGGGACTGGGCAGCACTCCTGGGGTCACTACAGTGGACTGATACTGGCTTATCTGTGACTTGGCCTGGCCTGGGTGGTGTGGGGATGGTGGGAGAGATGGGGGTGGGGAGAGGGGGAGGAAGAATTAGAAAAGGAGCACAAGAAAGTGAGATGGCGCTCACCCGAGGAGCTGCTCCTTCAGTTACTGCAGCTTCGCTGGGGTTAGATGGAGGGAGCAGAGCTAAAAGTCATGCTATTGTGGTTCTTGGAAGCTTACAGATAGAGAGAGGTCAAGGTCACTGATAGAAAAAATGTGGAGGGAGAAAGAGCTATGAAATAACATTGGTGGGGAAGGGCGGAGGCTGCTCCTGGCTTCCAGTGGGGAGGGGCCAGGAAGGCTTTAAACATTCTGCGTCTCCTTTCCAGCAAGAAAATGCTTTCACCAAAGGATTATCCCACACGATTAAAGTTTTTGAAAACAAATTTTTAATGAATTCAAAATATTCAATCATACAAATTTACCATTTAAACTGTTCTGTGGCCAGGATTCTAGTTTTTCTATTTTAACAATGCTGAGATAAAAATGTTTATTCAAGAGTCTTTGTGTGTATCTCTGATTATTTCTTAAAGACAATTGCTTGAAAGAGTTCGCTTGTTGGAAGAGATTCGCTATAGCCTCAGAAGCGAGGGCCACTGTCAGCTGCAGGCCTCTGCGGTGTCTGTCCCTGTCCTGCTCTGCTTTCTCTCCTCCAGCCAATCCCTCAACTAGCAAGAGTCTGTTCTGGGTAGACTCTCAGCTTTTGACTTCCTGCTGGTTTGGGTGCAGTCTTGGTGGCCGGGTGGTTCTTGTGCAGAAATCAGCAATGCCATCCCTCGTCCCATCTGCCCCTGTATCTATTTGCAGCAGTGAGTGAGAGGCAATCTGCTCTGCATCTCAGGTCATCTCAGATTAAAGCTGCATGGGTGGAGGATGTTTTCCTATCTAGGTGGACTGTGAGGAGGGCCCTATGTGGCACCAACGGCCTTCTCCGTATCATGTATCTAAGGCAGTGGTTCTCAGTGGAGGGGGTTCCTATCTCCACCTCCCGGGGCGTTTAGCAGTACCTGCAGACATTTTGTGGTGGTGGATGGTGGGTGTTGCTAATGGCAACTAGTGGGGAGGAGTCGGGGATGCTCCAAACATCCTGAATCTTGTTTGTAATGCTGCATAATAATTAAGATAAACCAGAATTGGTATAGGGTTGATGATTAAAACAAGGGAGATCTAATTTTCTGTGTAAGTTGAAAATATGGATTCTGCCTCTCCAGGAAATCCCTTTCTCTTCTTTCTGTTTCTAAATTTTCTTAATTATTTCCTCTCTGTCTCTGTCTCTGTCTCTCTCCCACACACCCATAGACCCAGCCCTTCCAAAGCTGACAGGCTGCCTGCCCTGATAATTAGGTTGCTATGTGTTAGGAGAAGAGAGCATCTGAGAGAGGACACACACTCAAGCAGGGAAGCTGGGCCTTTATTGAGGTTTTTTGAGAATTCTGTGACCTGGAGGAGTTTCTGAAGGTTAAGGGATGTGGCAGGACTTCAGCAGGCACCAGAGGTGGATCCACAGTGCGTGGCACAGAGAACCCATTCAGGTCCAGTTCCAGATTTCCCCTCAGGCTGGCCCAGGCTCCAGGGTTAATTCTCCTTCAGGACTTTATTGATCCAGGGCCGGTAATGGGAGATCCGGGTGAAGACATCAGGGGGCTTTGCATCCCTCCGGGTATAGGAGACAATGCCCTGAGCTACTCCAGCACACAGAAGAGGGCCCCCTGAATCTCCCTGTGGGACAGAAAGAGAGAGAGCAGAAGGTGAGCTGGTGAAGCCATCTGTTCCTGCCTGAGCACCCCAACTCTGAGACATAGTCAGACCTTGGGTCAGACTCAGGCACCCTGGCTTCTCATGGGCTTGTATGTCTTGAACTGATGCCTCTCTTCCCTTCCTTTGTCTCCCCTGTGCCCTGCGCAACAGCCTGGGAGGGATGTCAGGGACTGCACGGAGCCCTCGGAGGGTAGATGGAAGAGGGGCAATTTCAGTCTCCTTAGTCCGAGATCTCAGACCCTGTCACTGGCTGACAATCTTCTGATCCTGTGTCCTTCCAGGAGACACCTGGACCCTGAACAGTGATTTGTGGAAAATAACCCCTTTCTGAGGATCACCTTAAACACAGAGTTTGTCTTCCTGGGATTGCCAACACACAGCTAGAGGTCGTGGTCAAAAGCCCTGTAGTGTCTGCAGGCCTGGGGATCCATGAGAGTCAGTTTCACCTCTTGCAGGATGGTGGAGCCTGACCCGTTCACCTCTGTTCTTCCCCAGCCAGCTGCCCGGCACACTCTTCCAGGCTGGATGAAGTCGAACTGAGGTGCAAGGGGGAGCGTCCCCACGGCCAGGGTCAGATTGGCTTTCTCCTTCAACTGTGAAGGGCAAGAGGGGCTGTCAGTGTTAGACACGGGGCCTCCGGCAGTCAGAGGCCATCAGAGAGCGGTGTATTCCTATTAGAGCCACATGCAGTGGGCTGAGTTGTGGGGGATGTGGTCCGGAGGCAGGCCAGGGAAATTCCAGGGTGACGGGGGTGTGCAGGAGAGGCCTGAGGCAGCAGTGCTGGAGCAGGGGAAGGAAGATGCTGGCACCTTGAGTAACATGATGTCATGCTGAATAATAAAGGCATCATATTTTGGATGTGGGACTTGTTCCACAACCTCAAGCTTCTGCCATGTGCCTTCTTTCTCTTTTATGTCATGGACCCCAAGCATGACCATTACAGACCTGTTGTGAGGGAGAAGGAAGGACAAAGAGGAGCAACGACAGTCTGGGGCTTCTCCTGCGATGTGCCCGTTCTGACAAAAGGGGACTGGAGTCTCTCCCAGGTCACTGGCCCCTACCCACTGCCCTTTTCCTGGACCCCCTGTGGCATTTGAGGTCAGGTTTTATTCAGGGAGATCTTTGTAGGGGAACAGAGACAACTTCTAGGACCCTCAGGAATTGCTATGGACTGGGCAGGCCATGGAACCGCCAGGGGACAGGTTAGCACTTCCTGAATCGGGGAGCCCTGTGGGAGGGCCAGCTCTCTGGAGCAAGAGATAGCAGAGGAAATGGAAAGGTGGTGGGGTCTCAGGTAGACCTTGTTCTCTACCTGCTGTGGAAGGGACAGATTCAGGTCCCTGGGAACCAAAGGCTGGTGCTCTTGCAAAGGGCAGAGAGGAAGTGGCCAGGAGAGTTTGGTGGGGTCCTGGAAAGTAAGTCACATATCTTCTGTGTTGGAACTGGGGAGAGGGGCAGTAGTGACCTTTAAGAGGGACTTGGGTGGGTTGAATGGAGACTCCTTTTTCTTTGCAGGGACTGAGCTTACAGGGCCTGAGGATCAAGGCATTTATTCAATTATTTCTTTAAACCCAAGTTCTGCCTGTTCCTAAAGTGACCCAGGCCCAGGGGCCTGTCCACAGGTCCCCCAAGGGTGTGTCCCCAGTTACTACGTGGCTTTTTAATCTCCCTTTTGGAAATAACAGGGTCCTGTTGTATTACCTTCCAGCACAGTGAGCAGCTGTCAGCACAAAGTCCCTTCTTATCAGGAAACCATAGCAATATGCCAGGTCATTCTGGGGAGTGACAATTGTCAGGTAGGCCATGTAAGGGCGGGAGTGTGGCTTGCATTCTGTGCCTCCGATGATCTCTCCTGGAACAGAGAACCCGAGGGCCTGACCACAGAGGATGTTCAGGCTGGGTTGAAGTTGGGAGAGGTTTCTTTTGAATCTTATCCTCACCCTATATTCTGCTTTTTGTCCTCAGGACGCTGTGGTATCTGCTTTCCCCAGCCACAACCTCCCACATAAATCCTCATTCCCTCCATGAGGCACAGCCTGCTCGTGGATGCTGTGCATGTTTTTCACGTTGGATTCCCCCCATTCCCATTCTGCCCATGCTGAACACTCCTCAGTCACCGAGCAGGATAAACTCACCAGGTTTCTGTCTCGACCTTCTCCATAGCCCATGAGCAGGGTCACAGAATGGCCAAATTACAAGCTGACGCATATCCCTGAAGCTCTGAAGAGGAAGAGAACACAGGACTTTCTACAAGCATCACATATTATATTAAGCGGAAATCCCCCTCTTCCTCCCACCTGCCCTGGGCTTCCCCCCAGTCAATGTGGGGTTCTTGTTCCTGGAAACTACCATGGGCTGCAGACATTGGGTGGGCACATCCCAGGTGAAAACTTCACTCTGCGGTCTTGGATAGAGATTCTGATGCTTAAAAGTCAGTTATCTTCAGACTAAACTTTGCTTTAGGAACTGATCCTGCAGCTTCCACAGGGAAGGACCCCAAGACTTACCAGCTTCAGCTCCAAAGCATAGGAAAAAGAAGAGCAGGGGGAGGGGAAGATGATGCATCTTCTCAGAGGGGCTGCTCAGGGCAGATGCTCCTTCTGTTTTCTGGTCTCGGGTTTTATAACTCTCAGCAAGTGAGGGCTGGGCTGGGCTGGGAGCACAGGAACTATGTGGTCAGGTTTCCTTCTCTCATTCTAAGCTGGCTGTCTTTCTGATCAGAAGTTCCCTGAGAGTTGCCCTCTGTTTTGCTAGAGGTGAAGTTGAGGTCTGATTTCCAAGTGCTGGCTTCTGGGATGAGCTCTCAGCCACAGTGCCTTCTCTGGGGTAGGGGCTGGAGGGCTCATTCCCAGTTAGGGCAGTTCATTAAAGGCCTATCAGAAACATGGGTGGGGGAGAGTCCTTTCCCTGAGCACTCAGAAACATGTGTACTTTTCTGGTTATGAGTAGGAAATGTGTTTTGCAAAAAGACCCAATGCACATGCACATGTATGTGTAAGTACATGAGTGCAAACATACATGCATGCAAATGAATCAAAAGTTTATTTATCCTTATCATGTGCAGTGCTCTCTGTTAGTTTCCATTCTATTCCATTCCATAATAAAATGTGAGCAGCATCTCACATAAGGGATGATCACCTGCAATTTGAAAAAGATTAATCTGGATTTCTCTTTTCCTCTGAATAGGCAGAAGAAGGATCCAAGGAGAGTAGACCAGGGAAGGGAATATACACTATGATAGGACTTTACAAACATTATCTAAAGGGCAAACAGGATTGGTATTAGCATTTTTCAAGAGCCTATGTATGTCATTTATTGTCACAGCTCTTAGATATATTATGTTTTCATAATAATCCTGTGAGTAGTTATTATTTTCTCAGTCTTACAGATTGGTTATCAAGGACTATAGTTCAGAAATAGATTTTCCTGATTCCAAATTAAGGGCCCTTTCTGCTCAACCACCAGAGAGAAATAGAGAAGTAGGGTCCTGCCAATGGGGATGTAAATGTAGAAGGATGGTTTGCTCTGGGGGGTGGGAGGATTCCTACTCTCACATCATGAATCAAGCTTGTTTTGCTAAAGTAGAATATCTACAGATGTGAGTATCTGAGGTTCTACTTTTTTCCCCCTACAGCAACCTTGGGAAATACCATTACTGTCACTTTACAAATACAGACTCAGACACATTAGCATGACCCAGATAACACAACTCATAACTATCATTACTGGGTTTCAAGCACATATCTATTGTTTTCCACAGTCTTGGAGAAGCAGGGAGTCCAGGAAAGAGTGGGGTAACAGGGTGGAGTGTCATTTCTCTTGGATAGTAAGATAGTAAGGTTTTTAGTAAGGTTCAATGGAAGGTTTTTAAGAAGGTTAAGTATGGAAATGGATGCACATTTGTGTAGGGCAGCCAAGCGATGGACCACTGTGGACATTTGTCACATATGTGGTGGATTCTTGGTGTCTTTTGAACACCTTTCTTTTTTAGAGAAATTCCCAATTATGATTCTTGCCTTCCTAGGTAGAGTCCACAAACTTCCTTTCCCACATTCTTCTGCATCTAGGCCCAATCATGTGACTGAGACTCTGCCAATCAGATGAATGGGTGTAAAATTTGATTTAGAAGAGTGTAACATGAGGGAGCAGGCATCGTGTGGAATTAATTTTCATTGTGAGGGTGAGTGGGAGAGGGATGTGGCTTTTATGTTCGGGGTGTCTGGTGCTGCCCCTGGGATCTGGGCCAAGCCAATGAACTGTGAGGCTCTTGCTGATGAGACCCCCGTGAAGTTTGGATGTTGTTTCTGGCTAGGTAGCTTTCATATCTGATTTTATAGCACCTTAGCAAACAGATGTAAACTCTGTACAAGGAAGAGTTTACAAATAATCAGTTGTTACAACATGAATGTGTCATGAGGGGAAGTTAGGGATTTCCCTATTGCTGGAGATATTCAAGTAGAGATTGGATGGAGTCTTGTTTAAAATTCACAAGCAGTGGGAAGGAAAGGGTTGGACTTGATGTCAAGCTCTGGCATTTAATGATGGTGGCAATTCCTTTGCCACTATAATGCAGAGGGATCATTCCTCCTGGGTTGCTGAAACATCTATTATCTGTGCCGTTATTCACTTTGATGTTCAGGGCATGTGCCTGGCTTTGCAACGAGATGGGCGCTCTTGAATCTTCCTTCCGCCACATAACTGTCTGTCTGACTGTGGGAAAGTTCCTTAAGGTCTCAGCTGTAGTTGCTGTGTTGGTGAAATAAGAATGACATGCAACAGAGCTTTTGGAGAATTAAATATATGGTGCTAAATGTAAAATGCTACAGGTTGGTCTTAATAAGTGTTGGTTTTATTCCTTAATTGTGTTTTGCTTTGTGCTGCCATATGACCATTTGATGAGGAAGTGATGGATCTTTGAGACTGTATGTATTTTTTCCTCTAAATTCCCCTGAACATACTACAGATTAATCAGATTTACAGACGTCAGGTGTGCTCTGCTTTGCACAGCATCCTGTGTTATTCCTTCAACTTTAGGCTGCTAGATTGTTTCTTAATCTTGCTCTCTGAGTAACTGCTGTGTCTGTATTGCTGGCACATGTGTCTAAAGGTGACTTTAGCCCTCAAGCTGCCATGTAGGGCTATGAAACCTATAAACTTTCATAAATTTTGAAGTTTCTTATAAGAAATGCCATAGGTAAGGTACAACTGATGGCGTGGGGTTCTGCCATCTGGCATCAGATTGAGACAGCAGAGCAAGAAGAGCACATCCTTCACTGGCTGCATTTTCCTGACGCAGCGGCGCCTGCCCTCACAGTAAGCTCTACTTCCTTCCACAGCTGATGTTCCCAAGTGACCATGTTTTTTTTCTAAATTTAAAGTCTAAATCTAACTGCTACTAGCTTAATATCTGTAAGGTGATTTGCAAGGATATAAACTGATTTATTTTACTCTACTTGTGCTTCAACTCCTCTAATACACTGTTTTTTTTTTTCCCTTAACTGCTGCCCTCTGCACAGTTTGTTTCAGTGCACAACCTTTAGGTGTATGCTGAACAAGAAGGTCCCAGGAGATGACCTTCAGTTTTGAATCGGGAAGAAGATTTCTCATGGCTGTGTGTCCTCATTTCTGTCCCAGGCTCTTTAGTAAGAACCCCTCAAATCTTGCTAATCATCAGGGAAATGCAAATCAAAACCACAATGAGGTATCGCCTCATACTAGTCAGAATGGTAACTATACAAAAGACGAGAAATGGCAAGTGTTGGCAAGGATGTGGAGAATAGGGAGCCCTCCTGCACTCTTTGGGAATGTCAATTGGTATAACCACTGGGGAAAGCAGTATGGACATTCCTCCAAAAACTGAAAATAGAAATACCTTATGACCCAGTAATTCTGCTTCCAGGAATTTACCTGAAGAAAACAAAATCCCTGATTATGCACCCCTGTGTTTATTGCCTCATTATTTACAATTGCCAAGATGTGGAGGCAACCAAAGTGTTCCTCAATAAATGAATGGATAAAGAAAGCGGTGCTTTTGTGGAATTATTTTCTGATATGTCTCTTTTCCATTTACCACTCCTTGCAATAGGCTAGTGTCTGAGGAGGGAAAGCCCTAGGGCGCCCCTTCTCACGAGTCTGGGAAGCCCTTGACCTGAACAGCTCCTCCCAGAGACTCTGTATTTTCCCCACACCCCTAGTCGCTCTCAGCATCAGTCAGGGAGGCCTACTTTTTGGGGCATCGCCTTCTGCACATCAGAATGAACATTGCAGGCATAATGGTCTTACCTCTTCCGGGTGGGTTGCAGGAGAGACTGGTGAGGCAACAACTGTTATTTCCATGCTAGGGATTCACATGCTTGTTTAACCTGTGCTTATTGCCAACAGTAGAGTCAGTGCTTGCTGGCCCCTCCCTGCCCTTCACAGTCTCCAGTTTGCTTTCTGTGGGCCGAGCTATCAGGGTACAAATCTAGACTGGAAGTGACTTGTGTTCTAGATAAGGTTAGAATGGCCTGATAGTCTCCTTTGGCTGGGATTGCTAAATATGTTGAGACCCTTATAAGGGTGTCTCATTCGTGTAGTTTTTTCCCTCACATTGTATATTCTTGGTTTCAAGGAATATAATCCGTTGTTTCTTGAATGACCAGTATGGCCCAGAAGCAGGTACGATTTTGGCAAGGCTATTGGGGTAGTGTGAAGAGGAAGTTACTTGGGGCTAATGAGGCAGGTGGTGTATACTATTAACAGCCTCATGAAAGGGCCAACCCTCTGCCTGTCATTTTAGGGAGTTTTCATAGTGCTTCTGTTGAAGGATATTTGACTTGTTTCCAGTTTTTTGTAATTATGATTAAGCTGCTCCAAACATTGCATACAGGTTTTTATGTGGCCTTAAGTTTTCATTTCGGTTAGGTAAACATATAGAAATAGGATTCAAAGTTATATATATTGTGTTCATTTAATTTTATAAGAAATGACCAAACTATTTTCTATGATGGCTGTACCATTTTGCATTCTCCAGCAATGTACAAGTGGTCTTACTGGTTCGTGTCCATGCAGATCCTTGATGTTTTCAGTATTATTTATTTTAGCCCTTCTAATACTTGTGTAGCGTTATTTCATTGTGTTTTTAATTTACATTTCCCAATGGTTAATGAAGTTGGACATCTCTTCGTGTGTTTATTTGCTGCCCACAAATCTTCTTTGGTCAAGTCTTTATGCCCATATTTTTATTGGGTTTTTGTTTTCCTTTTGTTGATTTCTGTGGGTACTTTATATATGTAGATATAAGCCATTTGTCAGCTTTGTGATTCGCAAATACTTTCTTTTGGCCTGCTGCTTGTCCTTTCTCCTAACAGTTGTCTTTCATTGTACAACAGTTTTTTGATTTTGATGGAGTCCCATATATCAATACTTTTTTTATGGATAGTGCTTCTCATGTCATGTCTGTGAATTCTTTGCCTGACTAGAGGTTCTGAAGATTTTCTCGTATTTTCTTTCTAAAAGTTTCATAGTTTTGCTTTTAGATCTATGATCCAGTTTGAGTTACTTTTTGTATAAGGTCTGAGACTCAGGTTGAGGTTATCTTTTGGTTTTGTTTTGCACATGGTGTCCTGAGAGTTAAATGAGACAGTGTAGGGCAACAGCAGAAGTAAGCCCTCAGTAAAAGTTCTTTCCCTGGGATTTTGCACGGCCTTGAGTTAAATGGCCTCCTTCATGGATATGGTGCCAACTCATTGAGACTGTGGCCCTATAATGGCAGAGGTGCGGCTCTCCTGACCTTCCCTTTGGGTCCTCTGGGTGAATTATGACTCCACAGCACAGTTATCAACTTCACCCATCTCCAGCTTTTTAAAAATGTATTTCCTCTGGACTGAACTTTCCCTCCATCTGCAAGTCTGTGTGGCTCTCACTGACTTTGGTGTGGAGGAATACAAGTGTCCCTTATGGCAGTGATCTTGAGTGCTACTTCCTTTGTACTCTCCAGAGGTCACGGCGAGGGCAGCTATGAACCACAACTGCCCTGAATGTCCCAGTCAGGGCCAGGACCAGTATGCAGCAGGAAAGGCATGTGGGGCAACCACTGAGGAGATGGTTGCTCTCAGGCTCCTGCAGGGGCTTCCTTGCAGCCTGTTGCTTCCCTTGCCTCCCTGTGTGGCAGGGTTCCCACAGAGTGGCAGTTTCTTACAGGGAAAGGCCTTAGGGATGGAGCAGTCCCTGGGATGGGCTCAGGAGCAGCGAGCAGTGGGTTATGAGGACAAGGCCAGAGGGAAGTCCTGGGCTTATTTTATAGGCCTGACTATAGTTAAAACAAAATTTCTGGAGCTATACTCTATAAATGTGGTTTTAATGATCTGTTTACTGCACTTATCACAGATCCTGTCCTTGATTAGCTTAAATCACAAAGCTTCTTATGGCTTTATAGCCTCCTCTTAATATAAAACAATTATTAAAAAAATGATTTTTGAGAAAGCCATAAAATCCTAAAACTCTGCCTTATGTCATATGTTAGTTTTTTCTACAGTCATTGTGACATGGTGCTGCAAGCAAAGTGCCTAAAACAACAGAAAGTGATCCACTCGCAGTTCTGGAGGCTAGAAGTCCACAATCCAGGTATTGGCTGGGCCGGGTCCTTGTGAGGCTCTGAGGAACACTGTCCTGTGCGTCTCCCCTGGCTTTTAGGGACAGCTGGCCATCTTTGGAGGTCCTGGGCCTGTAGATGCATCACTCAGTCTGTGCCTGTATCTCCACAGGGCCTTCTCCCTGGGTGTGTGTCTTTCCTGTTCTTATAAGGACACTGGCCATATTGGATCAAGGGCCCACTGACTCCAGGTCACCTTATCTCAATTAATTATCTCCCACAGAACTCCTTCAGTGTGTACACAACCAGCCAGGGAACTGTGAGTTCAAGAGACACAATCCCCAGGCCCCCAGGGGAAAGTGGGAGGAGCAGATATTTTCTTGTTGGGCTTTGTCACCTGGGCCCCACAATGCTGACACCAGGAGGAGCCGGAGCTTCAGGATTTCCTTGTCCTCAGCTGCCCAGAGGCCATCTTCTCATGAGTCTGGACAAAGCGCTCTTCTCTGGACAGTTTCTCCTATTGACCCAGTGGTCCTGTGGATCCTCTTACTGCTCTCTGTGTTGGGCAGACAGCCCACTCCTTGGGTCCCATCATCCACCTCACAGACTGACACTGTAGCCATGATGATGGGCTTAAAGTCACCTTAAAGTCCCTTCCGCAGCTGGGGTCCATGTGATATTTGTTAGGTCTACAATGGGGACCATGCTGGAGTCAGTGCCGGTTAACTCCTTGGGGTCCAGTTTAGCCTATGGGCTCAGCCCAGCTCCCTGTGGGCTCCAGGGGCTCACCTGCCTCTTGGGGGCCAGGCTAGGAGGTAGGCTGCAGTTGCCCTGCTTTCCGGGAAGATGGGTCACCCTGGGGATGTGCCGTCCTTAGTGTCTGGAGCCCAAGAGCGGGTGGGGCCTTAGTGGCCTCTCAGTGCCTGCTTTGCTCTCCTAAGCAAGCCTCAACACAATGTCAATGCTCCTCTTAGTTCATATTTAAAACTCTTATTTAATTATACAAATATACAACTATAGTAAGGGCAAAAAGAAAAAAAAGTCCTTATTAGGATTCAGCATAACTTAAAATTTTTGAGACCCTTCCAGGTAGTTTTTCTTCTTTTTTGTACATACACTTGCTTTTTGCCTAGAGTTAGAGTTTATAATTATTCTTACATATTTTGCTTTCTTTATTTTCCATCTGTATTGACCAGTGGCAAAGCTGGAAACCCAGATTTGTGGGCTGGTAGGCTGTGGGGAGGTGGAGGTGCTGGGTCCCTGGGCTGGCCCAGCAGGATCAGGTAATTTTGCATGGGGTCAGCCTGTCTCCATCGGCCCTTAGGGTCCATGGTTTTACCTGGGTGGGCCCTGTGATTGCAGCTGGAGAGAGTCAGCTGGTGTTCCTGCCCTGTTCCCCTGTGTGTGGTGGGCATGGCTGTGAGTGCATTCTTCCAGCTCAGATGCTGGTGGGCATGGGATTCAGAGCATTGCAGGTCACTTTTGAGGGGGAAATTTTGGCCTAACTCAGGTATTCCTATTCTGGGAGGCCTGGAGATTCTGTATCATCAGTAAAAGAAGAAGTTTGAATTTGGGAGGCCCTGGTGTAACTCAGGGACCAGGCTCACGCAGATGTTCCTGGGGAGCCCCTCCTGTGCTGGGGGCCCTGTGTCTGCAGCTCTGTTCTAGTGGCTGCAGTGGGCAGACCCAGGCTGAGGACTTCCCGGGCCATCCTCCCCCATCCTGGCTCTCACACCGGGAATCTTCTTCCTTGTTTTGGTATGTGCCTCTCTGGCTGCAGACACAGTGTTCAGGGGGATGAGGGTGATGGGGCGGAAGTGGGTGTAAGGATGCAAGGTCTTGACTGCCCAGGCCTGGGGTTATCCTGAAATCAGTCACGGGGAGTTGCCGAGGCACATCTATGCCTGAATTACAGTGGCTGAGGCTCAGGACTTGAGGGAAGAAGAGAAGAGAAAGGAGGGGAGAGGGGGAAGAGAGATGGCAGCAGAGGAATGCCGGTCTGTGCCAGTATTACTCTGGGTATTAAATCCTATTGTGCAGATCACAATATTCCCCATATAACCTATAACACCACAAAATGTTCAAGAAGTTGTTAAGCAAGATTATTAATGTGGCAAGACAGGAGCCTAGTGCAATTCTTCATTCCCCGAGGGAGGAGGATCCGGACTGCGGCAGAGCACACCAGCTCCAGGGGAGAGAGAGGAGCTCACACACACGCTAGTGCTGCCTCTTTGTTGAGCTTGGCTGGGGATGCAGTCAGCAGGGGTTCGTGTGCCTCTGAGGGCCTCCTTGCGCTAGGCTGGCACAGTCTTCCATGGAACACAGGGGCTACTCAGGGCAGCTCTGGCTTTGGGATTCTTTCTCTGGCTGGGCAGGCTTCTGCGTTACTTGCCATGCAACACTTCATTAATCCAGGGCACGTATGGGAGGATTCAAGTGAAGACAGCAGGAGGCTTTCCATTTTTATCTCCATAAAACACAATTCCTTGGGCCACCCCAGTGCACAGAAGGGGGTGTCCAGAATACCACTGAGGGTTAGAGAAAGCAGGTCATGAGCAGTACTGGACCTTCTCTCTCCACTCTTACCTCATCCTGGTTCTATCATTACCCCAGCTCACCCCAAAACTCCAGAGGCAGGCTAGGAGCACTGGCTCCTCATGAAGCCATAAGGTAGGGGTTTAACATCTTTCTGTCTCTGGCACAGAAACACAAGTCTAGGTATTGTCCCCTCCATCATCCCCCTTTCTCTCCTGGAGCCCTGTATGGAGCCCTGTATGGCAGACTCGAGGGGAGGTTTAGAGGCAGGATGTATGGGAGGATGGAACCCAGATGGTAGGGATGTCGTCACCTTGAATGCTGATCCTGTCTTCCCGGGATCACCCACCCAGATTTGCAAGTTATGATTGTAAAACATATATTGGTTGCAGGCTTGGGTGCCTACGTCTCTCAGGTTCACCTCCCTCTGAGTGTCTGACTCTGGCTCTGTGACTCCTATTTTCCCCCAGCCAGCCGCGTGGCAGATTCTCCCAGGGGGAACAACGGCAGACTGGGAAGGCAGGGGTGTCGTGCCCATGGCATGGGTCAGCTCAGCTGTTGCTTTTGCTGTGAGGGAGGGCAGTAGACGGGTTGTCAGTCCCAGGGAGAGTGGGGCTAAGGTGGTAGAGTGTCCCTGGGCAGGGGCAGAGTTTGTCCCCAAGGAGAGGTGCTGATGTAGAGTGGGGGAGGTAGTCCTGAAAAACTCGGTTGGCAGAGAGAATAAGAAGACCCTGGTCAGGAGGAGCAGTCACAAAGGTGGGGCTGGGGACTGGAAGACGGATACATGTGGCATCTTCAGTGACATGATGTCACTAAGTTTGGTGAGAGCGCTGTAACTGGGGTGAACGATTTGTTCTGAGACTTGCAGCCTCTGCCATGTGGGTTCCTGATTTTTCATGTCATGAGCTCCCAGAGTGACAGTAATTTTCCTGTAGAGAGGGCAAAGAGAGGTAGAAAAAGGTACGGGTCTGCTTTGAAGGGTGCATTCTGAGCAAAGGGACACCAGGCCTGCCTCTTCCCCAGGGAAGGGCTACCTGAGGGGCTCAGGTCTTACTCAGGACAGAAGTTCCCCCCAGGAGCCCCAGCTTCTTTGAAAGGGCCAGGGCCAGAGGGGCAGGGTTGGCCTGCCTTGACCTAATCTGTCCTGAGAAAACCTTGGCCTCTGGAGATGGGAATGGCAAATGCGAATGGCCCGGCCCCTCCCAGTGTGCATTGCTGAGCATCTTGAGATGAGCAGGGCACAAGATTTATCCTTGGGCCACTTGAGGTTGTATTAGCTGTGTTTCCTATAGCTCCTGTAGTTAAAAGGGAACAAGTCAGAGTTTTCTTACTTTCCTTTACAATGAGCAGCTGTCATGACAAATTGTTGACTTATGAGAAACCCACCGCAGGTGACAAACTAACCCTGGTCGGTAAGGATTTCCAGATGGGCCGTTTAGGGTCAGGAGTGTGGCTTGCACTCTGTACCACTGATAATTTCCGCTGCAACAGAGAACCCAGGTCCCCAAACCCAGGTGCCCAGTGCCTCAGGCAGAGCGTTGGGTCAGGAAAGGGAAGCAGGAGCTAAGGGCACTGCGGAGCCTCGCCCTCCCCTCTGACGCAGCTCAGCCCCTCCCCATGTCCTGGCTGGTGGCTTTCCCGACTCCATCCACCCTGTCAGCTCGCATTTCACTTCAGAACACAGTGATCAGTCTTGGCTCTGAGCTGTCATCGACCATTTTTCATGCCCATCGCGCCTCACCCACATGCGAGCAGGCACAGAGAAGGCCCTGAGTCATGATGGTGGCCGTTTTGGGGAAAGCAGGTTAAGAGGAACTTCCAAAGCCAATTTTCTGATTCTTTCTCCAACCAAAACTTCCTTTCCCTGGGAAACTGTCATTACCTGGAGGGAAAGAGTCTGACTCTCCTCGGGGGGAGATTTCCACCTAGAACACCCGCAGGGGGGGCCTCGCAGCTTCATGTCTGGGTTGTCTTCTATTCAGGTCAGTCAGTTAGGAATGGGCATGAGTACCAAGAGGCCGGGAAGTCACACCTTAGACTCACCAGCTCCAGCTTCATGAGGCAAGAGAAGGACCAGCAAAAGCAGCAGGGCCTGCATTTTCCCAGTGGTGCTGCCCACGGCCAGCTGCTTCTGTCACCCCCTGGTCTCGCCCTTGCTTTTATAACCCCAGCTGTCCGAGGGAGGGGGAAGACTGGAAACCTCAGAAAACCCTAGGCCCAGTTTTGTCTCTCACTCTGGCCTGGCTGTCTTCCTCAGCAGAAAATTTCACAACCTTCCTCTCTGTTCTGCTGGCAGGAGCTGTGGTCAGAGCCCGTGAGTCCCGGCTGCTAGGAGGAGACATGCACCCTTCTCAGCTAATGCAGCTCTCAAGAGGTGAGATAGGAACTCAACAGAGGGGGTGACGTTTAGGGAACGTAGGAATCTACAACAGGGATCAGCCAGCTATTTCTGTAAATACCCAGGTAGTAATTATGTTCAGTTTTCGGAGTCATATAATCTCTATGGCAACTATTCAACTCTGCTGTCCTAGCACAAATGCAATTCAATCGAGATATAAGCAATTGGGTGTGATTGTATTCAACAAAACTATTTTCAAAAACTGGAGGTGGGCTGATTTGGGCTGCTGGCTATAATTTGCCAACTCCTCATCTAGAAGTTAAGCCTTTCTTCTAATATGAATAATCTGTGGAATGAAATGTGGAAGTGAGGAAAAGAAGGGCAGAAGGAAATTATTCACTGCTCATAAAGACTACATGCTTTGTCTCAAGCAACCTTTTGGGGCAAGTATTATCATTCAGAGTTAAGGAGCAGTCTCCTGAAGTTCAGAATGTCACATAGCCTCAAGATCCAAAGTTTAATAAGTCAGCTTCGAAACTCATGTGTTTTCCATCCACCAACCTGAATAATAGGGGATGTGGGATGAAGAGTTTGTCCAGGCAATGGAGAAGGGAGTGGAACTTATAAAGGAGAACACTTGAATTCTCTAGGAGGGGCTGGGGTTTTCCACTTGTGCCTTGAGAGTCACCCTTGGTTTTGATAATCAAATGGTATCTGCACTTGTCATCATTTCAGATGTCAGTCTGGGCTCTCATTATTTTACATGCACTGAGAAAGGAAGAATGTATTCTCAATAAAACAATAACATGCTATTGATTGAAAGGCTCATTGCCATTGTAAAGAGGTTAAAAGAAAGCTGGGGCTCAGAGAATTTGAGTCACTGTCAAGATTTCATAGCCAATAAATGTCAGAACTAGGTGTCATATATGTCTGTTTGACTCCAACCACATGATCTTTCCATGTATTGCCATGCTTTCTTGAGTGTAAAAAAATAATAAAAGAAAACAATAAAACCAAGAGGGATCTGGAGAGGATTTCCTCACCAGATCCCACAATTTTGTAAGATATTATCCAATCCCTTATTCTAATCACTCATAGTGGTTCTCTCTTGATGGAGCTCTGAATAATAGAGATAATGGCACTGGAAGTGAGTGCAGGGAAACACAACCTTGGTTTCCATAAATTGACCTGGGTCATCTACTACAGGATCTCTAATTGGAATATATTTAAAGCCATTGCTTACCCTGTTGTAAGTGGTGAAGAATATTAGTTGTATGTTGTAAGTAATTGTTTATGGCATACAGAAGCCAAGCTGTTAGTTAAATTGTCACCTTTAGATATCTGTAATGAAAAGCAAGACTTTAGGTGACCAAGTGTTTGATGCCAGAGACATATATTAGTGGAAGTTAGGAGTAGTATGGAGTTGTGACTGCTTCTAGGTGCTCTAAAAAACTTAGGGAAAGAAAACGATGAGTTTTGTGTTTTACGTTAAAAGATTGTGGTCTAAGAAAGGGTCCAGAAACCTATGACTGCCATAATAGAAATGCTTATCTCATACAACCTTATGTTTGAGATTTCTACAAACCAAATCAATGTGTCATCCTTTTGAATCATGTACCTGTTAGGATCTCTAATATAAAGTTCAGGCACTAATGGGGCCTCTAGGACTTGGGATGGGAATGTATTTGGGTAGATCCTGATGAATCTGGCATCTTGAACCATTAAATTCCTCCAGTCCTCCTTTGCCAGTAACAGCTTCTTATTCTCCAGTTTGAAGAGGTAATTCTCCCCTTGCCTGAAGAATCTGTAATTGGATTCCCTGAGATAGTTACCTTGCAGGGGACTGCTTGATTCCTTCCCCTTCAACCACATGATACAGTAGCCATGCTAATCAATCCTCAAGCCATTTCCTTAGGCTCAAAAAAGTGTCCTGAATCTGGGATGCTTCTCTCTTAAACTGTGGGATGCCGTCAGTCTCTCTATCCTATTAGCAATCAGCATGGCCAGACCAGCAACAGACAGTTCATTGTGTCTCAGAATCAAATCTGTCAACAGAGATCTTGTCCTGTCTTGTCCTGTTGGAGGAGGCTGAATGCATCACCTTTCTTTTTCAGGTGCCTGCATGAAGCTTGGGTGATTTGCGGCTGATGCTAGGAATGGAGCTGGGCAGCTGCTCTGCGCCTGCGTGGCGGGAGTCCGAGGGCCTGGCTGCAAGCCGTCTCTAGTTCCTTGTTCTGGCGCTTTCAGTTGGATGAGCGGTGCTCCTTGGGATTCTTCACTTAGCCCTCCAGGACCTGAAACCAGTATTTTCCCAGGTAATGGTTCTTCCTTTCAGTTGCTCCTTATTCTTGCATTTCCTTTTCTCTTAACAGAACCATCCAGTAATAACTTTGTCCTGTCCCTAGGTACCGTATACGGTTGACGTAAGCCTGAACATTTGGCTGGTCTATTGATGTTGCCACGGTGGAGGGAGCCAAGCACAAACATCAAATGTGGAGGGTGGATTTTCTGGGTGCTTGGAAGAGGAAAGTCATAAGGAGAAGACAGGGGTGGCTCTCCCACGGCAGATACCTTGGGGCTAAATGCAAAGACCACATTGTCAAGGCTTGGGGAAGGGTTAACCTTTTCTTGTAAAAGCCTTATTCAGACCATGCGCTAGGGAGTGAGGGGAGTAAGTACCCAGCCAGGAGCTCTGCAGCCAGAGGGTTTTGGAATCCTGGTAGCATCCCTTCCTAGTTTTTGGTTTGGGGCAGGTTTCTTCATGTCTCTTAGCCTGTCCCCCCAGTTTGTCTCTAAAATGGGCATAAGGCTGGTAAAGATTAAATAAGAGAATTTTTTTTGGGTAAAGTATCAGGCACAGCTTGTGCTCACAGTTACTATTAGTTTTAGCATTATCAACAAGACATAAGATCATGTATGTCTTACATGAGTTTGTCAACCAGAATTGTCTTCCTTCAAGTGGTGCCATGACACTAAAAAGCCAAGAAAAAAAAAGCACGGCCCAGCCCTTGGAATAGTCTCCCACCTGCCCCGGTCCTACCCCCATGCCTGCGAGATTCCCAGAGGGGCGGTGGCTAAGTGCCCTGGGATTCCCAGCCCTGAGACAATGTTCTCTTACATTTTCATTATGCTCTGGGATCTGAGGATGGGGGCAGTTAGTTGCTTCCTTATTTTGTGTGGGGACCTGCTGTGCCATTATTTCTGTGGATTTTTCAGTTGCTCAGCTCCCCTCGATTTGATGGCCTTTTCTATCCAGCCTTATTCGCTTGACAATCACATGACACATGACTGTCACTGTCTTCCCAGTCTCACCTTCTGTTCCTTTACTTTTGCTATCATATTACTGCTTCAAAGATGATACTTGTGTGCACCTGGGCATCACATTTGTCCATTCTTCTCAGGCTCCATGTTTCTGGTTAAAATGCCATTCACTCATTCCCTTTATCTGTTAAAAAATATAGTTTGATGCGACACTTACTAGATGCCAGACTCTGGTGGTACAAATTTCATTGTCGGAAAGCTCACAATCACAGCACAGTGTGCTGCCTGGAGAGAGGCATGAAGTGCTGTGGGATGGGAGGCTCTTGGGTGTGTCCTGGGGAGGCAGTGACAGCTTCATATGAGTTGAGATCTCAAGGGTAGTTACATTCCATCATTGGACAAATAGAGCTGGGGTTTTCTGGGGAGAACTGGCAACATAAAGAAAAAAAGCAAAGGAAAAATGCTCAAAATAGAAATACCATTTGACCCAGGAATTCCACTTCTAGGAATAGCACTCCAGTTGAAAAAGACAGATGCACCTCTATGTTTATCGCTGCTCTATTTCCAATAGCCAAGATATGGAAGCAGCCTAAATGTCCATCAGTAGATGAATGGATAAAGAAGATGTGGTACATATACACAATAGAATATTACTCAGCCATAAGAAAAAAACAGATCCTACCATTTGCAACAACATGGATGGAACTAGAGGGTATTATGCTCAGTGAGATAAGCCAGGTGGAGAAAGACAAGTACCAAATGATTTCACTCATATGTGGAGTATAAGACAAAAGGAAAACTGAAGGAACAAAACAGCAGCAGACTCACAGAACCCAAGAATGGACTAATAGTTATGAAAGGGAAAGGGACAGGGGAGGATGGGTGGGAAGGGAGGGATAAGGGTGAGGAAAAAGAAAGGGGGCATTATGATTAGCATGTATAGTGTGGGGGTGCACGGGGAGGGCTGCACAACACAGAGAAGACAAGTAGTGATTTTACAGCATCTTACTACGCAGATGGACAGTGACTGTGAAGGGGTATGTGGGGGGGACTTGGTGAAGGGGGGAGCCTAGTAAACATAATGTTCTTCATGTAATTGTAGATTAATGATACCAAAACAAACAAACAAATTAATAAATATCATACACTCTTGCCCTAAAAATCCTCTATGCTCCACAGATTCTCCCTTATTCTTAGCTTCAGAGAAGCACTGATCTTTTTACTGCCTACATAGTTTTGCCTTTCCCAGAATGTCATATAGTTGGAATCATATAAATGTAGCATTTTCAGATCAACTATAATTTCTTAAAATAGAAAATAGTTATTTGCAAATCATGGGATTCATTTATAAACTGTGGCTATTTTTAAGATTGAAAAATGAGTAACAATTGTAAAAAAAAACTCTATATATACCTTTTTAAGCATGATGGAGATTGTGTTCTTTGTGTAATGGTTGCACCCAATTTCAGGGACCATTCTCAGATCCTGGATGAGGCAAT